ACTAAATCCCAACACTTTCAAAAGTATGGTTGCTTTTTTTTAACTGTACACAGTCTTCCCTTCTTACAGCTTGTCACCTCGGCTCTTGAACAACTCATTTTAACTTTGGGAAAAACTTGTAACCATAACTGCTGCTCCTGAAAAGCCTTTAACATGAATGTTACATCTTGAATATGTATGCTAATACCACATGTTAAATATCTGAAGTAAGAATAAAACTAGAAAATACAAGTAAGATGGTGTTAGTCTGTTCTTGTTTGTTTTTCTTTCCAGCATTATTTCAAAGCTAATTGGCCAAAATTTCTTCTAGCCTTAAGATGACATGGAGCATCTACCTGCAGGTTTACATGCGCCAGATAAAAACATACACCTTATATCTCCCAGTATGAACTGAAATAAAACCAAATATCTCTATTTTTAGGTCAGTTATAATTACTAAAATAATTTCAGTTTTTAAAGGTTTATTTATTTACTAATGTGTTCAAAAGCAAAGGTTTACACACAAACAATGAGGGAAGACTCAGACGATAATGTCATAGTTTGGAAAATTCTGATACGTCATCTGAGAGATTTGGGTTAACTGGAATGGGGCTGCAAGAATTATCGGATTAATCGTGATTGATTGATTAATAAAATAATCGTCAACTAATTTTGTAATCAATAATTAACCAGACTCTAAAACATGAAAAAAACAGCCTGGTCAAAAGTGTAATTAAACCAAAAGGTATACGAAAAATATATATGTTTTGGATTTTTTTACATTTTGGATTTGAAAAACCATCCTTGTCTGTAAAATATGCTCTATCCTGAGCTTCACAAATGGCGATTTTAGGTTCACCTGATTCAAATTCTGTAAAATAATCTCATATGAAGCATTTTTTGCTATCCGATTAATAACAAAAAGTATGTATACCTGTGAGAAAGGATTCAGTGTTCCCCATATATAGCTGAGTTCTTGCAGAGGTCTGGTCAGCTCTCGAGGATCCTGTGTCAGGAGTAGGTAATTGGAATTGGGGGGGGGCTGCAGTTGAGGAGGAATTTGTCTGTTTCTTCTTTTTATCACTCTCTGTTTCACTGTCTGAGTCAGTGTCACCAAATAGGAGTCTATCGAACAAAAATAATCACAAGCTCCATTACTCCTGAGCTAGTAAAATACTTGCTAGATTTATTATCTCTGATTAGTCCTTCTTAAATCAGCAATAGGCTATAATGTTGTTTTTCTTTTTTAAAACTGTGGCTCAGTCACAAATCTCTAAGAATCCAACCTCGGCTACATTTTTCTTTTCCTCCACATCCATTTGTAGCTCTGATGTGTCACAGGTCAGTGATGCCTTCAGTTTCTCTCTTGCCCTTAGGCGATCGCCTACCCAGAATGAAATGATAAATTACTCTATTGCTAAACAAATGTTCATGTGCTGTTTACTTTAGTTTCTATGGAAGGCGTAGGGTGTGTAACAAAAAGGACATTTTACAGATAAAGCTTCTGAGAGTCTAGTAACTGAGTCAAATTTAATCTTTTAATGTATATTTACCTGTTTTTGAGAGGACACGCACATCATAGGACTTCCAATCTTCTGTTGGCTCTTCATTTTTTTGAACTGCTCTGTTTATGCGATTGTCACTTTTATAGCTGGGCCACTTTGTCATCCCGTCTTCAAACCAGGACTCTGGTATATTTACAGCCTTGCTGTTAATGAATTCAACAATTAAAAACATCTTAAAGAGAAAATATCATACACTCTTAAAACAAAACTTATATTTCACGAAAAAATTCTTACATCTCTGAAGCTAGGGTATTCAATTTTATTC